TTAATAGCTAGGATTAAAGGACTTTATTATTATAGTAGCTATTAAGTAGCGCTTATTAAATAAAGGTAAGTTTTTTAATAAGCTTTTTAAGTACTTTAAGTTTACTTTTCTTAAGGTTATTATATATAATATAGTAAAAAGTAGTATTTTATTACTTAGTAAAGTATATCTAAATAGTTTTAAGGCTTTTAAAATAAGCCTTTATTTAGGTAACTATAGTAGTAAGGTCTTAGATATTTTTACTACTAATTCTAGTAAAATAAAAGGTAAAAGCCTTACTTTTAAGTATAAATAAAAAGGCTAATACTATTTAGTATTTCTTAATACTAATTTTACTATAGTTATTATAAAAGAAGTTTAACTTAATATTAAATATATTATATATTTTACTAGTATACTTAGATTTATTAGAAATAATCTTAGTTAAAGTGCTTAATTACTAAAGAAAAGAATAGTTATTAATAGTGTTATTTTTAGTAAGTAGTAGCTATTTTATACCTTAGGGTTCTATAAGATTAATATATAAGTAAGTAAAAGGTTCTTACTATAATTAATAATAAGTAGAAAAGAATAATAGACTATTACCTTAATAAAATAGTCTTAATATTATATTATATAAAGAAAGTAGTAAATCTTATATAGATTAAGTCTACTTTAGTAACACTAGAGTTTATTATTTTTACTACTATAACTTTTATACTTATTTATTAAGTTAGGTCTATATTATTACTAGTTATTACTTAAGGTTTATAAATATTACTAGGCTTTACTTAGTTATATAGGTAATAGGTTACTATTACTATTTTTACTTATACTACTTTAGGCTTATATAACTATATTAGATATTATTTAGAAAGCTATTATATATTTTAATAAGCCTATTAAATATTACTAACTTATACTATACCTTCTTAACCTCTTTATTTATCTATATATAAAACTTATTATTATTAATAATAGTAATAAGGTATAAGGTAATTTATTAATAGTCTTTAAGTATAAAGATACCTTAGTTAAAAAAGAAGTTATAAAAAATTACTAAGGGTGTTTTACTAGTAGTACTAAAGAGGTCTTTGTTTTATTTATTAAAGTAATATTAAAAGTCCCTCTATAGCTTATAGTCTATAAGTATTTATTTAGCCTATTTAGCTATATAATAAGTAAAGTAAAAGTAAATAGTAAAAGGGTTTTACTTATTAAGAAAAATTTCTTAACTATATTTATTAAAGTTAATATATTTTACTATAGAGGTAGGTACCTTAGGGTATAAGGTACTACTAGATTAACTTATTATAAGATTAATTATTAAGGTTAATTAGTAGTAATTACTATATAACTTTTATAGTAGTAATTAGGTAGTTATATTTTTCCTTAATATAACTTATACTTATAAGTTTAGATAGTACTAGGTTTATTTTTATATATATAAGATAAATAGGGTAAATAAAGATAGGTTTCTAAAGGGGTAAATATAAAGATAAGAGAAGAAGTTAAATAAGCTAGTAATTATTACTACTTAAGTATCTTTTCTTAATAGTACTATAGTTAGTATAAAAAAGAATATTACTTGTTAAAGGGGTTCTAATAGTATAATAAACACTATAGTGTTTCTTATAAAGGTAAGGTAGCCTTAATAATACTTAACTTAGTTAGTAGTTTACTAAGTTATAGTAGGCTAAGTAAACTTCTATAATAGTAAGCCTTATTAATTACTAATTCTTAGTAAATAATTAACTATTAATTAATATTAGTTTTTTACTAGTTAGTTAATAGGATATCTTTATCTTATAATATTATAAAGGTTAAGAAAAAGTAGTTAATTAGTTATAGTTATTATTAGTTATAAGGTAAAGTAAGAGTATAAGTGTAGTACTACCTTTGCCCTAAGTAAAGGTAGAGGATTCTACTAGTAGGCAGTATATTATATAATACACCTCCTATAGCTATATTACCTATATACTAACAGTAGTAAATAAAGTAGTAGATTAGCTTAAAGACTTTATTATTTTTATTATTAATAAGTATACTTTTATTATTAAAGAAGTACTATTATTAGCTATTAATTAGTCTTAATAACTTATTAAATAAGGTTAAAAGTATTAGTAAACTACTATATAATAAAATAAGGAAGTTACTAAAACTATTTATTATAAAAGGGGAGGTTATACTCTAAAGAAAGCTAAAGAAAAATAGTCTACTAAGTTTTTATTATCTCCTTAAGGAAATAGTAAATAAAGTAAAGTATTAGCTTTATACTAAGGTAATATAGTTTATAGTATAAAAGAAGTTATATATCTTATAGTAAGCTTAATAAAAGCTTAGCTAAAAGGTTATACTACCCCTTAGGATTACTAGCTCTATAAAACTAGCTAACACTAAGATAACTACTTTTAGAGAAAGAAGATAATAATAGATAGCTAGATAATAGTAGTAGGTTATAATTAGTTACTAGTTACTCTTTTAAGATATAACTTATAGTAAGAGAGTAAGCTAGTTATATATTATACCTTAGACTATATTATAAAGCTATTATAAATAAATAGTATAAATAAAACTAAGGTTAAATAAATTAACTTTATTATAAAAAGGGATGAAAAAGAGAGAGCTACCTTCTATAGGTCTAGTAGAACTTAGTTATACTAATAAAAAAATTTTTAGCTAATTAGAAAGGCAAATACTAGAGTGTCTATAAGGCTAAAGCATCTATATTAATTCTAGGAGTATCCCTATTAATTCTTATTATAATACTATATTAATCTGAAACTATTTTTTTAAGAAATAAAAAAGTATTTTTCTTATATACTAGTTAACTAGTTATATTTCTTAAGAGAATACACTAGTTCTATATATAGTAAATAATAACCTATTTAAGTATAATTTTTATATATTTAATATAATTAGTAAAAAAAAATATACTTTTATAATAAAATATAAATATAAATATATATATTTATATTTATATTTATATTTTATATTTATATTTTGTATTTATATTATATTTTATATTTTTCTTTAATATACTAGCTAGTAGTAATACTAAGTACCTTATAAAGGCTAACAAGTAATAAATATATACTCTTTATACTAACGTAAAGCTATTATAGCTAGAGATAACTAATATTACTTATTATATAATACCCTCTATATATAGGTAAAAGAGGCCTATAAGGCTCTTCTATAGGACTTCTTATTTAACTTTCTAGTAACTATACTAGATTAATATAAGGTAGTAATTAAGGCTAATAGGTTATATATTAAGTATTATCTTTACTTATAAGTTAGCTTTCCCTTCTTTTATACTCCTCTTTACTTTATATATTCTCTTTAAAATCTTTTATAAATTAGGGAGTAACCCTAGAAGAGTAAAGAAAAAAGCATAAAATAAAGTATATTATAAACTATCTTAAAATAATGTTTATATACTTATACTATATATACTTATTAAGTTATTAGAGATTATATAAATATATAGATTTTACTAATATAGTAGAATAAACTATAAATAAGATTATACTATTAAAGCTAGTATAGTTTAAATAACTTTGAAATACTAACTTTAGAGTTTCATAGTTTCTGACTCTATAGTACTTATTTAATATAAAAGTACTTTAAAACTTCTTAGAAATTTTATTTTCTAAAGAATTATTTTAAGTACTTTTAGATTTTTAGATTTAATAATATTAAAATAAAGCTAGCTTTAACTATTCTAAGCTAATTACTCTCTAAATAAGTTTTAAGATTAAGTAGATTTTAAGTTTTATTAGTATATATTTAAGAAAAAGTAAGTATAGTTTTATAGTAAATACTATAAAGGTAAGTAAATAGTGTTATATAATAGTATTTAACTATAAACTTAAAACTTAAAAACTTTATACTTATACTTATACTAAGTTTTTATCTATATAAAAAGTTATAAGTTATTCTATAAAGAGATAAGATTTATATAAAGGTGTAAAGTACTAGGGTTTAGGTAGAAAAGTGCATAAAATATAGGGGAGGCTAGAGAGCGCAAAATAGGGGAGGGCTGACTTAGAAATTACCGTATCCACTGGTTAGATCTGGACAAAGCTAAGAAACCTGCTAGCCAGAGAAAGCTAGCAGCTGTCCTATAACGGCTAGTGGGTATCAGCTACGCTAGTCCTAACATAGAAGGCGGTCATCCACTGCTGCCCACTAGCCAGCCCGCCGTTAGTAGAAACACAACTGTTACGTAAGAAAATAGATATATACAGATCACTGTTTCTGCCAGCACACTATACTCCTTACAGCGGCCGCGATACTCCTTGCCGTTAGCTACAGTAATTAATTTGGATGCGTTGCGCTTATGTCAGCCATTTTCACCCCCTTGCCAGCCATCTGTCTAAGCCCGTGTTGTGGGGCAATACCTGACTATCCGGTTAAATATACCCATCACACGTCGTAACTACACTTTTATAAGAATAGCCTATTAATGTCTTAGCTATTAGGGTACAAAGTGTTCAGTCATGGCTGCCCCACTCCTAGTGTACGGTCAAGGCGAGGCTGCCCCACTCCTGGGTCTGTAATAAGCTCTGTGCGCATTCTAAAAACGTACGTAGTGATTACGGTCATGCCGCTGTTCTAATAGCGGTAGAACCAACTTTTTCCTCTTTGTTCTCCTGCATTTACGTGCTGGCTGAGCCCGGTCAAGCGCAACTCTACTACACATGACCCTTTTACTATATCCCTTCTCTTGCCTTATTAGGTTACTATAACGTTATGCATTAGTGCGATGGGTCTGCTAACTATCTTCTGGTTATTTACTGGTCAAGATACAGCCTTACTTTCACTAGAGACGGTTCCACTTGGTCTATTAGCAGGGGCCAAACGGCTTTGCCGATACTAAATCTTTAGGGGTTAAGAAGCAATTACAAGATTACGATGTAATAGCTATACAGATAATTACACATTAATATATATAATTATCTAAATCTATATAGTTTTATCTATATAAGCTGATCTTACACACAGCTAGGGAAGAACTTAGATATCTTCTTTACTAGGAAAACTACACTACACTTCTAAATTCCTTCTTTTTGACTACAAAAACCACGCCATACTTATAATTTCCTAAGGACAAGTCACTTATCCTTCCCCAACACCATGAAGCTCGCTGCCCTTCTCACACTTCTCTGTGCTACTGGTATTAATGCTGGTTGGTATCAATGCCAGTATGTAAATTCTGTTTCACACTTGTATTTCAACTTTTGAACTGACGCTTGTCCAGTTGCTCTCGATCGGGTGCTTTCAATCAGCGTGCTACAATAGGCGCTTGTCGTGCAATTAGAGGTTCCGACCTCATTAGTGTTGGTAACACAAAAGAATGTAGACTTTCAAACCAAAACGCATTAGCAACGGCCTTTGAAAGAGTAAGTCATAACATGTAGTTATTATAATCATTACTAACTATGTCTTTAAAAGTACTGCGGCAAGCAACATCCACAGCTTAAAGGATACTGCCGCTGGGTAATGGGTTAAGCATAGTTATTTAGATAAGGATTAAGTCTAGCCTAGGCTAGTAGGTAGGCAGGTTATAAGGATGTAAATAGAGAGTATATAAAGTTTAGTATTATAGGTAATCTTTAATGTTAGAACACTTAAGTTTCTAGCTATTTTATATTAAAATAACTTATTAGTTATATAAGATATTAGTGTAAGTACAAAAGTTACTAGTCTTCTTATCTTCCAATATAACTATTTATATACTACTATATCTTATAGAAGCCTATCTAGTAGTATACTATAAACACCCTTTAGTTAAGCTTTTCTAGATTTCTAGTTTTAAGCTATTACTTTAATATATAGATCTATTTTATATAATAAGTTTTAGGAGCTAGAATACTACTATAAATTAGAAAGTATAGTAACTAGTTACCTCTACTAACGCCTAAAGACAACTTTATTATAATTAATATTACTATTAGTAAGTACCTTATAATTAAGGTAGGTTTTTATTTACTTTAAGTTAAGAATTAATAGAATAGTTTCTTAATAAATAGTAACTAATACTAGCTAAGATAGCTATAAGATCTACTATAGTAAAAGACACTACTATAGCTTAGTATATAAGTAAAATACTAAGCTACTCCTATATATTAATAAATTTATAAGAGAAGTTATAATTCTATAACATCTTATCTTTAAGAGATAAAAACTAAGTAGTAGTTAATAGGTAGACACTCTATAGGTTAAACCTTAGGATCTTAGACTATCTTTAAGTACTAACCTATTTTCTCTTAAGTTACCTTTGTCCTTACACTACTAGCTTTAAAACTATAAATCTTTAACTTACAAGGTAATAAAAAAGAAAAAGAGCTTCTCTAATATTATACACTAAAGCCTTTTATTTAAGTTAAAGTTCTTAGAGATAAATTTCTTTAGAAAGTTAGTTTATACTACTATATTCTTAATATACTTTAAGCTAAGAGAGATATATCTGTTTTCTTTCTTTTTGGGAGAACAGTTGGTAGGGGGGTATTCCAGCTTCGGGGGGGGGTATCCGTTGTGGGGCCGAAAAGTTCGGGGGGGGTAAAGTAGCTAGGGTTAGGGTTATTAGGCTTATTTAGGCTTAGCTTAGAGTGTGAGAAGTGCGAGAGCTTGAGCATATGCTAAGCATATACTAAGTATATACTAATAGATATAGTGTCTACCTTCTATAAATATAGAGGACTTAGTTAGAAGACTTAGGTCTAAGTCTACTATAGTTATAGAGGCTAGTTACTATATTTAATAGGATATGCTAAGCATATGCTGAGTATATACTTTAAAATATAGTACTTACCTTCTATAACTATAGAGGACTTAGACCTAAGTCTTCTTACTAAGTCCTCTATATTTATAGAAGGTAGACACTATATTTATTAGTATATACTTAGTATATGCTTAGCATATGCTAAGTATCCTTTAGTTAGTTTTTTTTAATTTATACGGTGCTTAGGGCTTTACCCCCCCCTGAACTTCTGCCCTACTGGCCGGACACCCCCCCCCGAAGCTGCAATACCCCCCTACTAACTGTCTACCCTTTCTTTTTTTCTTAGCAATAGGGTAATCTAGTCTGTGCGTAGGTCTGTGCACAATTAAGCAAGAGACTTCAAGAGGTACTTTGATGACTTAAGTGCTGCCCCACAAAGTGTCTGCGCCCAAGCGCCCGCGCGCCGGCGCGGAAATGGCCGAAATGAGTTAGTTATTTCTGGGACAGATTTCCCCACGCAAATAAGGAGGAATCCATGTCTGCATAAGCACAGGCACAATTTTCAATTTATAATAGATGCCTGTTAGAACAATGATTAGGAGAAGTTACCCACACAATATACGCACAATTGACTATACTAATTACTTAAACAAAAACCCCTATTCACTACAGGCAGGGCCCTTAGTTTTTATAAGAGGTTCGTTACACAATACTGTTTCTACTCTACCTTTCTACTAGGCACACATAATATCTCTATTCTATGTAATCTTTACCTCTTCCTATACATTCTTAGCTAAGATGTATCCTATAAACTCACTTATTGTCTTCCTCCTGTTAATATATAGCACGTTTGCTGCACCTACATCTAAACCAAAATTAACGCCTACACCAAGAAACCCTGAAAATCCTAAATGGCAACCACTTAGAGCCGGCGGTGGCATCTACAATGTCAAGAGCTTGAGTTCTATAGGCCTCTACTATATATATACGCCCTACTACCAGGATTCCCGGGAACCAGTTACAGCACTACAGCTCCACAAGGGTGAGGACAAGCTTACTATCTTGCAAGCTTGGAACGCCTACGAGGGTTTCCACCGAAACAACAGCCCTCGACTTAAACTATCTGACGTAATACGGGCTGTGGCTAAAGAGCAGGCACATGTAGACCTGGGGTCACTTACTAAGGTTGTAGTGGACACAGTTATCAACAAGCCAACAATTACTGTTGTAAATGATTTCTTTGCTGATTGGGAGAAGCTCCAAAGCAAACCAAATCAACTGCGCCCGCCCAAAGTCACTCTTACGCCATCTAGCTCGTATTGGCCAGCATTTCAAACCACGCCGTTTGTGAAGGCGGTTAATTACGCGCTTGCAAGAGACAAAAAAATGGTGACAACAATATCAATTGTTACTACAGAGATGAAAACCACAAACTTATTGTTTAGCCTAGGGCCAAAGCCAAATATTGGTATTAGCAAGTAAATAAAATTAAGAAATTACCCACTTTAGATGTTGTTAGCTTCTGCTAGCACTTGTAAAGGAGGCCAGCAAGAGGCCCTAAGCAGTGTTATATACTAACTAGAGGATAGTAAGTAAAGCCAGATTATTATAGATGCAAATAGACTAAAAAGATTAATAGCCTGTAAACTTCTCTATTTATTCTACACTGCATAGTTAATGTCTTAGGACACAAATATTAAAATATTAGATACAGCTATAGGCTATTATTTAGAGACAACTTATAGGGAAGTTAGTATAACCTAACTACTTGTATTCTTAAATAAGAAGGTAAAGCTCTTGTTGTTATTATTATTCTTGTATTAAACGCTATAGTGTCAAGGGCGTAGCTACCTTTGCGGCTGGCCTCCTAGGGGCATCTAACGTAAAAGGCCGTAGGCTAAACCTATAAAAACTAGAGTACATTGTCCCTTTAACCCTCTATATAAGCTTTTATCTAAGAATTATGTTTACTTTTAGCTTTAAATCTTTTCTTTTCCCCTTAAAGTACCTTTACTCTAGCTATATTAAGTGACTTTACTAAGATATAGTCTAGTCTTTTTAGGCTAATGATATTTACTAAGTATATTTTACCTTATATATAGTTTAACATTCTGAGCCTTAATAAAATTAAGTCTTTATACTTGTAAACTAAAATATTTAGTGTAAAACTTAATAATCTTATAATATATATATTTATATATATAGTTTAGAATTAGCCAGGCTATATAAGTAACTTACTTAGTTTTTAATAATAGTTTATCTACTACTTTTACTACTTTTTCTCTTTAATAATAACTATAGTATAGTATTCTAGTAAAATAAATTTAGCCCTAGTGCTTAATATACTTTAAGTAAACCTAGAATAAAGTATATAAAAGACTATACTAATCTATAATATATCTTATATAATATTTTAGTATTAATATTATAGCTATATAGTAAAATATAATAGTTAATTACAAAACTAGAAATTAACTTTATATAAAGAGAGCAGTATTATTTTATATATAATTAACCTAGATTTATAAGTATACTTATTTATTTACTATAGGATAATATATAGCTAACCTTTAAAACTACTTTTCTAGCCTTACTAGTAGATTTATTAGTTAGGCTAATATCCTACTAACACCTAGTACCTTACTAGGCTCTACCTGTTACTAGTATATAAGACTAGCTATTACTAGCTATAGCTTTAGCTCTTAGTAAGTTATTAAATCTATTACCTATTTAACTATATTAAGTAGTAGTATAACTAGTTATAATACTATAAGGTATTAACTTTTTACTACTATTAATAATAATAAAAAGTAAATATACTAAATTACTATTTAAAGCTATTTAATAAGTTATTTTAAAAGTAACTAATAAAAGATATTTCTTTACTAGCTTAGCTACTAATATATACTTACTAGTAGATTTTCTTACTATTACCTTTACTAGCTTACACTAGACTAACTTATTTAGCTAGATTTACTATACTTTTAGCTACTACTACTATTATTAACCTTTAATTTAACTTTACTTTTTTTACTTTTCTTTATACTTCTTTATATTAGTTATTTTACTCCCTTATATATTAAAGTTACTATAACTAAAGCTACTATTAATTAAAGCCTTTAACTATTAATAATAATAATAAAGTTACTAGCTAAAGCCTTACTATAAGTTTAGTACTAGATTTCCCTTAAGATCTATACTTTTTACTATATATATACTAATAACTATAGCTAATAATACTACTACTAACTTTACTATTAAGACTTTATATCTTAAAATACTTTTTTTTACTACCTACTAGACTACTAGCCTTTATTACCTTCTCTATTACACTTATTACCTTTATTACCTTTATTAACTTTACTATTACTACTATTAATAATAACTACCTTGTTATTACCTTTTTTACTTATAAGTAAATAGTCTATATTACTAGTAGTACTAACTCTCTTTACTATTATAAGGTTTAATACTACTGTTAATACCTTTTACTAAAGAATAATTACTTTTTCTTATATACTTTACTACTTTATAGTCTTAATAGTAAAGTTAACTTACTTATAGTTTATAGTAAAGTTAACTACTAATTAGTGTTAGTTAGACTAAAGGATAAGTTAATAAAGTTAACTATATATATTAGTAGTAGTTAATATTACAGTAGTAATAACTAAGGTTAAATAACTTGTAACTATATTACCTAAAGTAAAGATTCTAAGATAAAGAGGAAAAGAAAACTATAGTAGGGCCTTTCTCTACAATATTACCTATAAATCCTTTGTAAACCTTTTCCTAATCACATGACCCTTAGTAGTCTATACTTAGCCCTAGTGGCCCCTATAGTCCCTTAGCCACACTTACATAGCCTACTTTACCTTATAGTCCTAGTTACCTTATAATATTAATAAATAATTAAAGTAACTATAGTCTTTATTATATATAAAGAAAAAAAGGATAATTATTATAGGTAAGTTATTCAAATAAATAACTTATTACCTATAAATTCTTAGTAAATCTATAGCTATTATCTAAGAATTTACTAGTAATAAGTTATAAGAGTTAATCTAATAACTCTAATATTTATCTATAATAGTTAACATTAGAATAAGAATACTATAATTATTTAAAAAAAAGTAGTTAAATCAATACAAAGAGGTAAATAAGTTATCTTTAGATTATTTAGATATAAGGGTAGGTTATATATAGAGTAAGGTATAGTACTACTTAGCTAAGAGTTATTTCTAGTATAGGCTCTACTTATGTCTTTATCTATAGCTAAGGCTATAACACCCTCTATATCTTTTATAGAGAGAAACTTTAGAGTCTTCTTCTAGCTTTCTTCTTTACTACTATTAGAGATATTACTTTAAGGATAGAAAACAATACTATAGTTGTTTATATTTAAACCCTATTATAATAGGCATACTTAATTAAAAGCTTTAGATTATAAACAGTAATCTAGTATATTTAAAGCAGAGTTAGGTTAATATAGATTTTCTTATTAGAACTTACTCCCCCCCTCCTATTCTCATGTCTATTACTGTTTAGGTTAAGTAGAAACAGGGGATAGTATTACAACTGAGCCAGTCACAGTATAGAAAGACGCTAATGATATCTATTCCTTCTGAATAACTAGTTATCATACCCTTTCTTGCCTCCCTATCTTCGCTCTGCAAGAGCAACAAGCGGGCATCTAATATAAATCCCCAGATGGCCAGTTGCCCAGCTGACGATGTTCTGCGGCCTAAAGCCGTCTTCTTCTGTTCTGGTTCTTCTTCCCCTGTGCCTTGGGGCTTACAAGCTCGCACACTTGACCTCCATCGCCGTTCCCGCAACGAGCAGGGAATGTGCAGCAGTTTTCGTCCGCAAACTGATCGAGGCCATCAGCCCCTTTGCCAACAAACTTGCAGTCGAGTTTGACGTTGCGAGTTGGGCAACTAGCAAAGTAGTATTAATATAAGTGTAGTTCAGCTACAAGGGTTGTTCACGTTTGGAAACCCTCCAGCCTGAAAAAAGGCTGACGGGCCCACTCATGGGGCTTGAGGTAGTAGGCTTTTACTTACTCCTGGGCGAGAATGCTGGTGGCCAACGCAGTCAATAGAATAGCGGTGAACTTCATGTCGTCTGAGTTGAATTAGAAACACTGCACAGCAGTTTGGTTGTGTAATTAAATGTAAAAGAAAATGCCTGAGCGTGGTAAGTATTGAGTTGATTGCGATGTCTATCAAAACAGAATCTGACAAGAGCGATGCTCAAACCCATCTTTATAGCAGCTCCAACGATTCTATTAAGTCGAGGTTGTGATATACTTACTGACTCTTAGGTCTCAAGCATCACGGCGCTAGTAGGGGGTTGTTTTGCCAAGTCGTGTCGCGTACCCTGTAAATTCCGGGGTAGGTCAGGAGAGTCATTCACTGCGACATTGCTTATTATGACATTGCTTACATTTTTAGCTCTACAACATTTCTAGCTTAACAAACTCTGAAACTTGATGTGCATCAACTCTGATACTTGAACCAATACATGGGTCTGCCCCACTGCCTTTTGGTGATCCGCTGTAACATTGGCAGATCACCACGTATTGGATTAAGTGTTCCTCTCGATTAGGCAATTGATATCGGGTGATCAGTACGAGTCTGAGAATGCAATCAAGTAATACATAATGGTTTTACTAACGGTCTGAATCTAGCAGCGCTGCAGTAGGCAGAATGCTAGAGCAGGCTCATCCTCTGGTCCACTTGCTTTCTCCAAGAACCGCGCAGACCGCGGCTACCCCCACAGTCGGCTTGACAGGCGTAAGACAATCTGTGTGGGGGACTCTCTGGCCGTCATAGAAAGATTAGGACTGAGCGACTCTGTGCTAGCGGCTGCATCTAGGCTACAATATAAGGAGCCACTGCAGTGACTTTCCTCCTATTAACTTGTATTGTTTCTATAACTGTTTAGGTACTTCTTTAACTCTGTTGCTTCTCTGTTGGTTATAAAACATGGCTAACTTAGCAAGGCCTTCAACTAATGCCTGTGTTTTAGATTATTGTTTCCTTGACGACAAAAGAATATAAATTTAGGAATATAATCCAGCGAAAGTTATTAATGCCATATGTGAACGCCAACCTACTCGTCCTGTGCTAATCTAGCACATATGCCAACTGGCCACTAAAGACAAAAGAGCCTGTCCCCAGATGCATAACCTAACCCCACGTGATAGACGTCTCGTCCAAACGAATTTACTGAGCAGCGCCAAAGATCTCATTGAGGTCACGCTTGGCATTGCGCTTGATCCCGCACTTGTTCAAGCAGGCGTCAATGCCGAGAGCAATGTTGGCGGGGATATGTTTACGGAAGCTCTCGAGATCAGCGCCGTCAATGGTCTGGACACCACCAAGAGTAGCAGAGACAACATCCGGGCGCAGGTTGAAGAAGGTCTGGGCAACCTGCTCAACGCCAGGGTCGACGTTGTTGAAGCCGGCCACGAATACGGCATCCTCGCAGTCGGGGTTGAACTCCTGGTGGATGGCTCCCTGAGGGAAGACGGACATCTGGAAGGTATTCATGGTGTTGGCGATGGGCTCGACGCCGTTCTCGACCTGGAAGTTGGTGACGAGACGGCCCTTGACGATGACATTGAGCTCGGTGGCCCGATTGTGGACGTGGGCGGTGTTCATCCCGCAGGGCCCAAGGAAGCCGAGAGTCATGGCGGCGCCGTTGCCGATGAGGGCGGGGAAGGTTTTGGCTGTGGCGGAGGTAGAGAAGCCTCCCTTGCCGCGGGACTCTGAGCCCTCCGGGGCGCCGGAGTCATTGAAGTTGAAGACAAAGTCGCCGGGCTGGTTGAGGAGTTTGACGCGCTCTTGCTGGGTGGGGGCGGTCATGAGCTTGGTAATGAGATCCTGGTTGCCGGAACGGGTGTTCATGGGGACTAGGGGGGGAAGGACGTCGTTGATAGACCCGCCGTTGTTATCGTCGTAAGAGTAGCTTGTGTTGGAGGTGGGAGTGGAGGACATGGTCTTGGAAGGGGCCGGGGCGGCGATGGCGGCCGTCGCGAAGAGGGCGGAAGACAGTATGACTGAAGAGTGCATCATGATTACTGTTATTATTTGTTTCTAGTGATAGTTGATGTACTTTTCGACAGAGAGTAAATCCTGACCAACAATGGAAACAAGGAAATCAGAAGGAAAAAGCACAGGAAATAGAACTAGATCTGTAAGTTGTTTGATCGTGTTGGTTGTGATGATGAGGAGAGGAAAGACGGGTATATAGGTTCCATCATCAATGTTATATACATGAAGAGGCAGCATCAGACATGAGATCGTTTGTGATAACCTTCTAGTCTCGTGGCCGCTGCTGTTGGTGCTGTGCCTCCTGCAATACCCGGTATTGATAATCATCCACAATATGCTGTGGTGTAGAGTGTGATGTGGGCAATACACCCGGGAACAACATCAGGGTTACGCCAGGCCGATAATAGCAACAGCCACCAACGCTAGGTCAGCACAGCCTGACAAACTGCAGAATGGAGATACACATGGGGACTGCTGATGCTAAATCAGTTGGAACTGGCGAATCACTGAAGATGTGCGTTTTCTCGCTCATCTTGGCGCTGATGAGGAGCGACAGGGATTGACTTTCGCTGGGGGCAGTGTGGTGCCAGCCTGCTGGGCTCACCGCCGAAAACGGATTGGAGGGCTGAAGGCTCGGCTGGTTGGCCGCCAAAATTGGCTGACCCGTCAGCAGGCAGCTATAGCCATAACGCAAGGCAATCAGAGGTGAGATGTGTCCTAAGTTAGTACTGCTAATCCTAGTCCTACTCACGGGGTACGTGTTGAAGTGCCAAGGTATATAGCAGTCGCCAAAGTACAAACAAGAAGGGGGTGCCTCCACTTTTATGTTGTACTTTGTCAGTACGAGGTAAGACCCCACCCTACAACTTGGACCACCCCCTAAGTTGGACCATGTGTTCACATTGACTATTTTCCCCCTTTTTTGTGCTTCTAGTAATTAACTACCTTTTATAAACTAAAATATCCTAGCAACAAAAAATTAAATTAATTCTTTTAAAAATACTAAATACTTTAGAATACTAAACTATACCCCTAAGTTACTTAAAAGGGTAATTAATAAAGTCCTTGCTAATAGTAGCTATTATAAAGTAGCTAGGCGCTAGGGTATCCTATATATAATACTTTACTGTTACCTTTAAGGTGCTATATTAATTAAAGAGGCTAAAGCTGACTATTAATAGCTTAGTTAAATATAGGAAAAGTGCCTTATTAACTAGGCTTTATCTTAGGAGGCCTTTAGCTTTATACTTAGTTATTTATAGGTTAAGGAGATAGCCTAGAGAGTCCTTAGAGCTAGTAATAATTTATAGCTATTAGGCAGAAAGTAGCTAAAAGGATTTTTATAAAGAAATCTAGCTATAAAGACCCTAAGGGCAAGGAAGATTAGCTCTAAGAGGATTAAGTATATTACTAAAGAAAGGATTAAGGAGCTTTTTTATTTACTTATACTCTTTATTATTAAGGATATCTTATAATATTTATAATAAAATATAGATAAGACTAGGATTACTAAAGGGGAGGCTTAATAGTTTTTAGTACTAAGGAAGTCTAGTAAGTAATCTATATATATCTAAGTCTCTAAAGCCTACACTTAGACAAGTATTCTTAAGTATATCTCTATAGATAGTAAAAGATTACCTCCTTTAGTTATCTTTAAGGGAGCTTTAGTATAATAACAGTAGTTTCCTCTTAAACTTAAATCTTTTACTTAATAGTAGTTTATATTATTAAAGAATAACTAGACTTTAAATAAGATAGGCTTTAACTAGCTTAAGACTATCTTTATCTTAGCTATAACACTAGAGGCAAAGAAACTTAATTCTAAGACTTTTTTTATTATAAATAAGTATAAAAGTTATATATTTAATAACTTTATATAAGAATACTTTTAGTAAGATATTTACTTACTTTACTTACTACCTTATACTAGCTATATTACTTAACCTCTTAATATTTTAGTTTTTTCTTCCTTAAAGTAAGCCTATTAAATAGAAGTCTTAGAGGTATTTATAGACCTAAGTAGTACTTTAATTAAGAAGTAGAACTTTCTTTACTATTATTTTAAAGTATTAAGAGAGGCCTTTATAGAGAGGAATATCTAAGTAGGCTAGTTAGTAATAAGGTTATAGCCTATAAATATAGCTTAGCCCCTTATAAGTAAATTTATTAACCTAAATAATAATACTAATAACTTAAAGGCTCTAATATAGGATTCTAGCTTCTTTACTAAGCCTAGTATACCCTAATAGTTTACTATTAAAACCCTTTAAAGGTTAAGAGACTTAAGGAGGTATTAGAGTCTATAGGATCCTTAAGGGGAAGATAATAAATAGGATTATAATACTTAGAGACTACTCTTTATAAAGGTAGAAAAGTAGCTTAATAATATAAACACTACACTAGCAGAGAACAGTAAAAAGATATAGTTACTTAAGGCCTAGCTAGACTATATAAAGAAGTATAAAAAGGGCAAGGTTACTATTAATCTAAATACTTACTTTACTACTATAGAGAGTATTATTATAGCAAAGGAAAAGGCAGCTAAGGAGTAAGCTAAAGAGGAGGCTAGGAAGGCAGTAATTAAGGCAGTAAAGGCACTAGCTAAGGCAGAAAAAGTAATAGTAGAGGTAAAGGCAGTAAAAAAAAGAGCAGAGGTAAATCCTTCTTTATAATATAGATAGTTTAGCATTTATATAGGTTAATCTATATAATTAATAAATAGTAACTATTAGGCTAAAATAATGATTTTTTTGTATAGTCTAACTTAAGGGGTAGTCTAAGTTGTAGGGTGGGGTCTTAGTGTTTAAAATGCTAATAAGCATCTGTGTCCTAATTGTCTAAATAATAATAATATATTTATAGTGTAGGCTATTCTACTAGCCTATAAACTATTTATAGCTTTTATAAGTCTACGTATGCTAGCTGTATAAATTAACGTTAGATAGCTAGAGATTATTTCTAGGATATAGGATAAGATTTAGAATAAAGCTTTACTAACGCATTAGGTCTAACGTTAAACATTATTTTTACATCAGGAATTTAAGCGCTAATCTATAAAGTTCTAGCTATAAGTTAACCTACCCACTTTTTAGCACCCCCTATATTTTAGTATACTAAAAATAAAGCTATTATAACTAATACTACTTTATTTAATTAACT